GATCCGTACTTCTTCAAAAACGATGATGGCCACAACGTTACAGTCAATGCTGATCGGTATAGAGCTATGATTACTAACTCTTTCATTCCTGAATTGAATAACCATGATGTCCAGGAGATGTGGTTTCAACAAGACAGCTCATGCCACAATCGATTTATTGAAAGACACGTTTGGTGACCGCCTAATTTCACGTTTTGGACTTGTGAATTGGCCTCCAAGATCTTGTGATTCTGTGGGGCTATGTTAAGTCATTGGTCTATCCGGATAAGCCACAAACGCTTGACCATTTGGAAGACAACATTCGCCGTGTTATTGCCGATATACGGCCACAAATGTTGGAAAAAGTCAACGAAAATTGGACGTCCAGATTGGACTACATCCGCGCCAGCCGTGGCGGTCATATGCCAGAAATCATATTTAAAATGTAATGCCACAAGATTATCTTTCGGATAAGTAAAATTTGTGCCAATCGAATAATTCATCGTTGTTTTATTGCAACTTAAAGTTCTATACATCGAAAAAAAAACACCCCTTATATGGGTTAAAATCATCTCATCCGATAGCACAACTTGATTTTAAAATACATCTACTTAGTTTAAAATTTATTAGTCTCCAAGAATCCTTGCTTTTAAACAAAATTATTAAATGCCAGCATTTTTGTTGCTTACTTCTTGCTGGAATTAAATTATTTTTTAAATTTCTGTAAATATTGATGCAAGCGAGATCTTTTTTTGAGTCGCAAAATATTTTTATTGTTGATAATATATCTCTTTTTGTACGAAGTAAGTTGGTAATAGTATATTATGCAACAAGTGCGGTAAACGGCATTTGACTCATTAGTTTATTTGACACGAGCGGAGCCCAGCGGAGCGAGTTTTTAATAAACGCGTGAGTTGAAAAGTTTACCGAACGTGTTGCATACTATACTTTCTCTACGACCGTTAGTTTTTGGGTACATTTTCGCAAAACACGGTTTATGAGACCTACTTCCTTATAAAGTGTTAAGGTTTTTAAATTTTTCGGTTTCTTTCATAGATTTTATGTATTCATGGCTCCATTGCGCCCCTTGAATGCTTTTTCAGTGAACTTCTGGCGAATACAAAATTAGTTTTCGGTCTTACATATTTATTTATACAAGCAAAGGTTGCTCAAGAGATTGGTTGGAGTAGCCCAATTATAAAACAACACGAATTAGAAAAAATAACAATAATGAGTTAGGTAGAAATACATAAACAAAAAATCTGAAATAAATCAAATAACGAAGGGAATGAATACGCGTAGAGTCGTGCAGCAATCTCAGTAAAATATAATAGACATTTAGTTCGTAATACATTTTTTAGAGGCTCTTAAATCATTAAGTAATTACAATATTATTGTATAATATTATATAATATAAGAGGAGAGTTAGAAAGATAATTAGCTGTGAAAGCCGGGATACTAAAAGTAGGTCTGTTGCGAAGGGTAAGCATAAAATAAGAATATAATTCACACAAAACTCTGAATCGATAGGATTATTTACTATCTTACAAGAAATATAAGAAAATATCGAAAAATGTGCCTTTGTCTATTAAAACGAAAATTAAGAGCTGACTGTTGACGAATACTCCAGAACCCTTGTTACCATACTGCAATATAATGTAATTAAAGAATCTTGGTTCTTAAAGTTTTCAGTAGTTCTTAGAATAAATCCCAAACTACGCAGTGCTTTCCCAATGATCTCTATATGAGACTCGAACAACCGTTAAAGTCCAGAATAACTCCCAAATCTTTAACAACATTAAGACGTTTTAATATTGTTTAATTTTAAGTTCACATTTGAATTCCACGAGAGGTTCAGCTTAGAGAAAACTATCAACATCTAAGTGAAGTCGATTCAGAGCGCAGTACTGTTTAAGTAAGTAGAACACGTACTTTGAAAGTCCAGAAAAGTTCATATATCATATAAAAACAAAACAAAAGCAGGGAACCCAAATGCGAACCCTGCGGAACCCCAGAAGTCACATCCAAGCAAGCCGATCTTATTCCATTAACAGAAAGACCAAACCTTTTATTCTTTAGATAATTTTCAGTGCTTTGAATATATTTTTTACATAATTTTTTACATTTCTTTAAAGGGCCGAGAAAACATTATAATCACATGTGTTATGGAGAACTTTCCACCTTCTTTCCAGACTGAAATGAATCCTCCCAATTATAACTACTTATCAAATTCAATCAATGACTGAGTAATTGGCATTATTGAATTTTATTTTTTCATAAGAAGTTCTGGGCAAATGTCTAACTCATTTTAAGTGTAATTAACGAACGAATTATTACATTTATTTACGAAAACCTTATCAAGGTTAATTAGTAGAAGATCAAGAACTTTATTGTTCTGATTTACGATATGGTTGAATAGTTTAAAAAAGAAATCACCTTCAATTTTTTAGTTAATGTTTTACGTAATTTTTAAAATTATTTTCTAATTCATCCCACATTGATAGCTATAAATGTAACAGATTTTCGTAAGGCCGCGGTACAAGTTGTCAAAGAATATATCACCATAATCAAATAGATCTAAAACTAAACTCTCGCATAGAAGAAATTTTTGTCTTTGGAGCTAAATAGTTTTTTATCTTATTTATCAGATACGTCGCTGTCAAAAGTAATAGCGAGATTTTTTTGCTAGAACGATTGGGATAGTTTAGGTTAATTTTAGATTGCACTCTATATGTTCTCTCACGTTTTTGTTTTTGTCTATTACTATCAGTTGTGACTTTTAAATTGAGGTGTTATGCAAATATGTTTAGTTGTTGCAAATCTTATTTTAGTCTCTCTTGTGTTTCTAAAATATTCCGTTTCGGTGGGAAATTGTTAGCGAAAACTCAAAAACCGCGAAAATTCCTATTCAATAGTTTGACTACATTTTTTATAATATCTGCATTTTTTAATCTGGGTAAGATTGGGTAAAATTATGTTTTTACGTCCAATATGTGCCTCTCTTTGCGCGTGCGTCAGTGTTTCCGGAAAATTACGTTATACAGGGCGGGGACAAAAATCATTCATTTGACTACTTCGCTGTCTTTATAAAAATCCGTGTCTTGCTAAAGACTAGTTTTCCCGGTCTAACGAACTATAGAAACAAAGCAGACATAATGAAAGCGAGTTATTTGCCACCTGGTATCAGACTGCACATTAGATTTGAGAACAATGGTAGAAATGAATTGTTATCGAATTTTTCATTTTTAAAATTGAGCAACGACATGTTTAAAAATAATTCGTATGTGACAAAACAGTTTTTTTTTAATTGTAGCTGAAGCTATGTTTTTTTTCGAAAAATGCTTTTATACAAAAAAGGAGGGGGCACTATAAATGACATTTTCGTTTGAGGTATTTGCAATACAACACGAAATTATTTGCAACACGTAAATATTTTCATAATTTTATATTCCATTGGGGGTTTAAAAAGTCTTTGATTTCATTTGATTGATTTTAAAATAATACTCGAATCACGTGATAACTACTATCTCAACTTAAAATGTAAAATATTGATATACTATCAAATCATAATTAAAAGTTCATATTACAAAAACATTTTTGTTAGTGATTTCACCATATTTCCGACCTCAAATATACTGACAAATGTACATTACGATTTTGCCAAACGATATCAACAAGAAAATCTGGCTCGAGTGTGCTCGATTTGTTATATTTAATTTTTAAAATTGTGGCGTTTTGAGTTATTTTAAAATCAGTTAAAGTATTCGCACAATATTTTTACATGGTATTCAGAAAGATCATCATGTACCAATGAAAGGAGGTGACTTTTTGGCTCATATTAAAAAATGGTTTATACAAACCTAATTAATTAAGTGTGTATAGCCTTTTACCCTATAAGTAGTCGAAAGCCTTGGATATAGACAACTAGTTTTTTTGAAATAAAATATAATAATAACTACATTTAAATAATACTAGCCTTAACTAAATTTTGATTTACCATCGCATCGTATTTAGAGGAAAAATTAAATCCTTAAGGAATTAATTAGAAACGTGTAGCAGTATATAAATTTGATCACAATAATATTATATCAAAATAAATTTTAAGTTCCTATCATCTAAACATTTATTTACGATATTTGGGTATTTAAACTATGTCTTCAAAGTCGATGTCAATGTCGAAGCGTTTAGGTATATACAAATTCTTTTAGGTTTAGTGATAATTGTTACAGCCTATATATAAAAATATATGATACAAAATTCAAAGATGCTTTATGTTTCTTTAAAACACGATATTCGTAATAATAATTTTTATGTCCTATTGTACTATTATAATAAACCGTAGCCTAGAAAAATGATTTAAACAATTCAAAATCGATATTTCATAATTTTCTTTTGTGGTATTACTAGAATACTATGATTTTAAATGAACAATTTAAAATAAAATCTAGTTATTAACAAATTAATTGTGCGAAAAATATTTTTACTTCAAATTTTTTTCTTTTGCTGGGGATTAAGCTTGTTCCCTATGTGCTGCTATTGTTTATTTACAATTTAAAAAACAGTCATTTTAGACGATTTTTTTTTGCCGTAACTTTTTTGTTTATTAACGAATTCTTTCAAGCCATAACTCATTTTGGAAGTATTTTCAAGGCGTAAACTTTTTTTCGAAAAAATCACAGCTTCAGCTACAAGTCAAAAAAATTGTGTCTTCACATACGCCACTTTATTTATTAAAATACAAATAATTGCGCAACTTTAAGAATGAACCATTCCTACCATTGATGACAGTTGCCTCGAAAATCACCTCTATTTTACTCTAATTCGGCTTTGCTTAAAATGTGGGCCGGCCGGCGTAGATTTCGAAACTAAATGTGACGAAAGCTTTAAAAAAATCGCAAGATTTTCGAGATAATTTTACGCGCTTTTCGCGATCGACGCGTGCCAGAAATAACCTGCGCGTCGGATGTCGGTGGCGACGCATATTTTGAGATGTTTGGTAAAATAACAGCGCCGCTACTCACCAGCGACTAGTTTTGCTTTTGGTCGCCGCCACGCATAAATTTTTTTATCCCTTTCGGTCAGTATATGTTCTCAGAATACCGAGGGTCCGAACGGCAATCGATATTAGACCGGAAAACTATCGGAAAACGACTAAAAACTGTCGAACGCGAGTTTGGCGGACGCGTGACTACCCGAGTTGGCGGCTGAAGCGGTCCGTTATATTCGCACGATTTTAATTTTAGAACCGCCATCGCTAAACGTAGTCCGACGGCTAGCGTTTTTATAGTTCGCTTGGATGTTGTTGCTGCCTAACGTCGACCTCTCTAAGACATCATTTTTTATACATTCTGTCGAAGTCCCTAGCGGTGTGTCCATGTAATGTAGCACTATTGCCCTGATTGCACTGTTATAGGTTTATTTTTAACAGGATTTCTTAATATTTTTTATTATATATATATTTCTTATTATATTTTATTTTATATCAAATGTTGTAGAATAGAATTGAATTGAATTTGACTGCTTTGGTATAATAGAATCTTAGAGTTACAGCAAAGCAAAACCATAATTATATGAGTTATTAAAGACAATTCATTTAACAAACAATAAGTTAAGCTAGACCGACGCAGGAGGAACGCGGAAGATTTGCAAATAACATAAACATAACAACACATGTTTCAGCCATGACGACTGCCCGGTCCTCTTCTACATTCAATCTTGCCCCCCGTCATTAATCTCAAGAATTCCTGTCTTGCGTCTTTTGATGATTCCAAGAATTTTCCTGACCGCATTCAGGACGCAATTCCATACATTACAATCGAATATATATAAGACTTCACAAATCGGTATCTGATATTTAGTGATAGTATGGGATTTGCAGGAATTCTCTTCATTCTAAGAAAAGCAATTCTAGCAATTTCTATACGGGATCGAATCCGAGATACCTGAATTTATTGATCTGTTCTATTCTTTCAATGTATGTAGTTATGTTCGTGTTCACATTGTTATTTCTGGAAATTACCATCATTTTAGTTTTTTCAGTGTTTATCGCATCTCTCTCTCTCTCTCTCTCTCTCTCTCTCTCTCTCTCTCTCTCTCTCTCCTTCTCGTTATCATAACGGTGTCATCTGCATGTATCTACCGAATGTTGTTGACTAATCTCCCGTTCACCTTTATGCCTTCTTGAATGTTTTCAATGTTTGTCAAAGGCCCTTTCATAGTATATACAACAGAGATTTATGATTAAGCCCAAACAGTGCCTTTCTAGTCTCAAAGATGAACCGAAACCTGAATTGTTCTTGTCTCACATATTGGTTGCACTTTGTACATATCCTATTCTATTTCTATTTCTTCTTGGTCTATTGTTTGTTATTGTGTGACTGGGATACTGGACTTGTGCGTTTTGTTATTGTTTGATATAACTTCCTTTATTTTTTGAGCTTATTAAATATACTGTCTTTATTCTCTAATTCTTCGACCTCTCCGTATCGTTTTTCCACTCCAGTTTTCCTTTACTTCTTTTATAAGTCTGGTAATTTTTTGTTGATATCTTTGTTGTGTTGTTGTTAATGCTGCCTTTTTGTTTACATTCTCTTCTTTCTCCCATCAGTAACAAGCTTTTCTCAATCATCCATTTTTGTTTGGATTGTTGTCTCCGAGTTCAACAACAAAATTCTTCTACACAGTAGAAACATTGGTCCAGGACATATAAATTAAATTTTTGTTGTGGTTTTGAAAATTCACCTTCTTATTTTTGCCCAGCAGACAATAAAAATCTTAAAATCTAAGCAATTCTTTTGACATTTAGGTACTCGAAATTTTAGAATTTCAATATTACAATTCCTCAAGTTCTAATTATAAAGATTTTGCAGTGGCTGGTAGTTATCTTTACCAAGAAAAATGATTTTATTGCACCCATGGGTAAGAAGGAATCGTAAAAAATTTAAAAGAAATGAATTTTCGTTACAACTCCAAACAGTAAATGACTGTTAATAGAGTAAGACGTAAAAGATAGATTTGTCGATGGTGGCTTACTTGATTTTTAATAAATAAGAAGAAATATCAGAAAAAGATGCGGAAAATGAAGATTGTAAATTCGATTAAACCTCTTTGTACAAAATTTGTTGTCGACGATGTAAAACGAGATATACATATAGAAATAATTATTATTTCTCTGGCCTCCAACAACTATCGTTCTGACCACCCGGAACATTTTCGTATTATTCTTACTTCTATATATGTTTTTATTTACTTGATCTTAGAATAATCAGTATTTCAATTATCTGCTTATCTCTATAATTAAAGTGATGTCCTTTCTTGAAAGTAGCTTCTAAAAGTCGCTGTAATACTATTTATAGACCGACGCACGATAAATAGTCATGACTGTAATTTGTTTATCTACGCCTAGGCATTTTTGGCGTAATAAATCAACCCAGTCCAAGATAGTAGTAAGGAAATTGAAAAGAAAAATATATGAATACACTCTCTTGTATTGCAAACTGTATACTTGTAAAAAAGTAAATAGTTTGAATATTGGAACACCAGTTAACTCCACTGTTCTCCCAATGCCTACTTTCATGGCCATGATTTTAGAAGACTTGCATTAAAAAATATAAATTATTAACGGTTTTTTATTTGCTATTTTAAATTTTAAACGTTCAAATAAACAATCTTCTTGCAGCACATATTCAAATAACGTTTTCTTTTTAGTTCGTTGCTCTACTCGTTGGTTTATCGAGGCTTATGTTTATGATAGTACTGGACTATACAAATTCTGTTTGTGATGAATCAAAGTTACTTGAACATTGGTAAATAGTAATCACATTGTTATTGTCACATTTATTATTCTAATAAACTACCTGTAGTAGCACCACTCTCACATTAGTTTCATACACCAAACTCGTCTTTCTATTGTATGTAATTTAATTATTATGAAGATCTTAGAAACTGAAATACGGAAAATTATTAACGCAAAGGAACTTTAGCCCTTAAGTTGTCCACTCCGCTTAATGACCCCTGCCAACGCAAATTTATTATATTATATCTCTCTCGCATTAAGATACAGAACATTGTGAATAAAACAAGCAAATGTAGAGGAATCATTCTGTCTGGACGAAAAAAGGCCGATAAGGCCTGCACAAACCACTCATTATCCTATACCATTATAAATGATCTTTTTGGAGCAGTGCTGCTTCCCCAGACTACGACAGCCTTTAATGGAATACGTCAAAATAAGGATAAAATAGGATATCAGAGCTAACCAATCTAAGCAGAAAAGTGACGCCAGAAAGCTCACGAAATAACTGATCTATGTGAGTCATCAATTTAACCTATCGTTGATTATTTAATCATTTATAGATAACTACTTCTAAAATAAACAAAATATATTACACTTCGTATGGTTTAAAATAACTTTTATTTAATCCTCATTATTTTTTTTCACTCAAAAATTAATTCTAACTTGGTAATTTCATTATATTTACATAATTTCATAGGTTCTTACAAGTTCTCTCGGTAACTGCATTTTCCATTATGCAGTTACACAATCAGAATATAGAGAAAGCTTGCCGGATCCAACTAGAACTAAATTAATAACATATTTAGTAGGTGTATCGTAAAATGCTTTACGCTATTTTTACTAATATTTGTATTTCGTAGTTTTCTTTCTCGTTTTACGATGAAAGAAAATATTGCAAGGCGTTGCAGAATGCTTGGAATGGAAATTTAAAATTACTGCAGGAAAAAAAGGCATTAGCAAAACCTCACAAAAAGACCACGAAGACCAGGAAAATGTTTGCTGATGCCACAAATAAATTGTAATAATAATTTGTAATAGAGTAATTTGCAATAAAGAAAATGCCCTCCCGAGAGAACTTTGAAGGAGCTTTAGCTGGGACAAGCGCAACCAGCTAATTGAGAGCGATGACCTAAAGCAGCACCGCATAGAGCAGAAGTCTATTTTTTGAAGGGTTGAAGGGATATTATGTCATTTAACAGAAGATCCCGGCGCTCCCGAATAAACCGTATAACTCTTGTCTTTACCATTTCATGTATAAGAAGAAGAAGAAGAATTATAACCCATAATAAAGCCTTTAAATGTGTATCAAAATTTGGCCGAATATCCACCACACATATATTTCAATTTTGAGCAACAAATATTAAATTAAATATAAAACATTTTATTAGTTAAAATAAAATTTCGTTCAATTTCTTGTGTTTGTCAAATTTGAGTGCAATAAATTCTCATAAATTATTATTATTATTAAAATAATTTATTTTATAAATTACAGCATCTCCCTCAAATGGTAAATATGTTTCTTTTATATACTAGTACCAATGGATATCTGAGATATATGCAAATATATGAAAGCGAATTTTTACACGTTATCCAGGCTATCAGTTTTTTATTTTTATTTATTTTTATTGTTTTATATTTTTTTATTTTTCTAAATTTAATTTGCTTATAATTGCTTATAATTAACCAGACAAAAACTTGTCGGTCAACGCTGGTTGCATACGCTAGGAAGGTTAAGAAAGAAATGAAAGATTCTGCAGCAGTTTGTATATTCAAGAGTATAGTAAATTATGTCATTTAAGGGCATTGGTCTGGTTTAATGCAGGTGCGATTAAAAAGGGAACGTGCCACATAACCCTTCACGCAGACGCAGTTCCTGAACAGACACGTGTTGTTTGGAGGATTGTTGATTAGGGGCCATAGTATTCTATTGCCGCAGTCCTTGGTGATGAAAAAGAACGGGAAAATGGGGGGACAGACGAACTCCTGATTGGGTCCACAAACGATAGCTGAAAACAAAATTATTAAAGGGTTTTTAAAACTTCGTTTAATACGTGTACAGAATTACATAGTCATATAAGTTCGTATTGTGTAGATGGCGATTTTTTACACAATTTTTGAAATATACATGTTACACATCAGTTACACCCGATTTTTCTAGATTGCCATAGTCTGAAGGCACTCATCTTTCTCTAATTCAAAATAGCCTCATCCTGAATAATTTTGTTATTAAAAATCGTTATTTATTCTTCACTGTAGCCACCTATTGCAAAAATTTTTCAGATGTTTTTTATTTTTCGTTTTTAATGCAAAATTACTTATCTTTTTCAAACATGGACAGTTAGTCTGTGATATATCATATACAGGCTATAGAGATAATCGATTTTTCTGCGATATCGATATATACCGCGTTC